AAGCCCCTCCATCCGGATCCCAGCCATCAAAAGTACACATAACACTACCCTGCTCAGAACTCCGAGTAGTTAACAAACACGACTCAACAGTACCCGATTTCGTCCCATCCCAATGCAGCTTAAAATCAGCTCTTAACGCCTCAGCCGTCCCCCCAGCGATCAATAACTGAGTTCCTTGCCCAATACGCAGCATAACACTGCGGTCGTCCTTCCCACTTGGGAGGAGCATCAGCGGACAGTCCTTGATCTTCAAACAGCACATCTCAGAGCCTGACATAGCCATGTAAATTCTGTGGAAACAGACGCCCCACCATCATCCTCAAGTCTGCCTTCATTACTCACCTCAGCAACTGGGGATAACCTATGAGCCCCCATAAACAATTCCCCATTCACCAAACCATCATCCCTCCTCAACACCCCACAAGGAGGAGTACAAGCAGAAGAAGGGGTAGAGAAGGAAGAGAAATTTGGCGAGAGATCAGAGCACTTACCCAGTTTTTGGACTCCACTGGTGGACTTTACCCACTTTCGCTTTTGCTTCCGAGGCCATCTTCGCCCTTTTGCACTAACTTGTGCGTTGCTCGGGATCTGATTTAGATTATCGTGAAAGCTTGAATCAATAACCATTTATCTCGGTCTCGCGTACATCATCTCCTTAGCTCCTCCAGATGAACAGACTTCCCCACCTCCTGAAGCAGACCCAACTTGAAGAGGTTCAAATGCATTATGAAGTCCAGGCCCAAACGATTGAGCCTTGAACGGCCTAACAGACTGCCCAGACCCTAAAGAGTTAACATTAGTCTTCCTTTGTGTGTGGAAAGGATGGGTCTTAGCCCTCCTCTCTGTCCCTGAAACATTATGTCTGAGCCCATGGACTATCTGGCCCGATCTGCTCCGACCAAAACTTCTTGACCTAGAAACATTTTGGCCCATCCTACCTCGACCATTACTTTTCACATCTCCGTTATGGGTCCGGACTACATTTGGCCCAACCCTTTTATCCCCTTCCCCAATGGGCTTGTGAAACCGCCCACTAGGCCCCGCCCATGAGCGTGATCCACCCCTCCCCTTTACTTGGTCTGTCACGTGCCCTCTCTCTGAAATTCAAATCCCTTATCTTATTCGGATAAGTGCAATCCTGGGAATCCCTTGCATGCCAACCACATATCCCTTCTTCTTTACCCTTGGATCCACGCTCTGCCCGCGCGTGAAAACCACTCCATCTTGTTCTTTGTTTAGGGCCCTGCAACTCCGATGCCAGCCATTTCTTCTAGAGGTGGCAATATACACGACAAGCTAACACGACACGAGATAAATGGGTTTAGGTTTGGCATAATTGTGTTCGTGTCGTAATTGTGTCGACCCGAATTGACACGGTAATTAAATGTGTCATGTTCGTGTTTGACTTACCAACTCGTTTATAACCCGTTTAACTAAACGTGTCAAATAAACGTGTTGTGTTCGTGTTAAAAATGACCTGTTTAGCTAAACAGGTTGAATAAATGTGCAGTGTTTGTGTTAGAAATGACATAAACGTTTCTTGTCGTATCATTTCGTGTCATGTCGTGTCTTAGTCTTGAATCATTTATTAAACGGGTTACGCATGTTGAGTCGTGCTATCCATGTAATAATCATGTTGTGTCGTGTTATCCATGTAATAATCATGTTGTGTTTGTGTCAGTGTCGACCTATTTAACAAAATACCCATGCTTTGACATGACACGAACACGACCCACCAACACGAATTGCCACCCTTAAATTTTATTCCCACCTCCTCTCTACAACCTCAGCCATTCATCTTCCGGAAGAACAGTACTCTAATCCCTTCCGTCAAGTACCTCAATAGTTAGGACAAGCTCTGGATACCTCTCAACCGCCAGATACACCCTGTAACAGAGTCGTTCGTCGTTCACAAGAATCCACTCCGGGACGACACCATCAGCATCGACATAGATGATGAGCTTGCTCGCATCCTTACTTTCATTTGCTACTACCTTTCTGAAACCCCCAGGGGTGTTTCCAATAGCTTCAAATAAACCATAAGACCACAAATGCAGTGGTAAGGCAAACACCATCACTCTCTTCACCTTCTTTTCCTTAAGAATACCATGACACCCCACACGAAAGACCACACATCTAAACATAATTCAGCCTCTCCCCAGGTCAGTTTTCCCTCAAAACCCTAATTGCCTCAGCATGGGACGGCAATCTGAACAACAAAAGGGAGTCCGGCAACGGGGAAAGTTACCATTGCACCAATAGAAATCTTCCAAGCCCTTGAAGCCCAACCTCCAATCCTCGCACAATCCCCCATATCACGATCAAACCTTCCCACCAGAAAACTTTGAATGACATCTCTTCTTTTCCAAATGCTTTGATCATCCAAAAAGAAGTCAACACCCCTTTTGACACCTTCGTCTCCACAACACCATGCTTTGGGAGATTTGGGATCATCACCACCTCAATGTACGATCAATTCCCAGATCCCTCGTATAGGGCATATCTAGCTCTCATTAGTAAAAAAACATTTTTACACCGAGTATTGAGAACGTACACCCTAACACATCTTAGCTCAATCTGATTAGAAGCCAAAATGATTTAGTGGCAAAGCTGCTTATTAAATGTAAACATGGCATGATTTCTTTCAAATCCATTTGGAACCCTAGAATCATAGGGTACTTTACTTACGCATATGTCTAGGAATAGAATATGCAATGGTTTGATTTAGTTTCCTTTTTTGTAATATTAACAAGTGCTCTTTTTAGAATATAAATACATGAGTTGTGAATGAGTGTTTAAAAAAAAGCCTCATTAAAGTCTTTACATAGTATTAATCTTATTCAAGCCTTTACATATTATTATACGCATTCAAGCCTTTACACATTTCTCTTTTATTCCTTCTATCTTGTATTTCTTTTTTATACCAGAGCCAGGGTGGTTCGACCGCAACTAGGGCGTTGTGAGTTCTGCACCACCCATTCAGGAATGGTTTGAGTAGACATTGGTGTTGTATGTGTAACAAGTCGGGAGAATCTATAAACCGTCTCTTGTTGCATTGCACTATGGCGAGGGAAATTTAGCCTAAGTTTTTGGTTGCTTTTGGGGTCAACTAGGTTGTTTCAGAATCCATGGTTGACATGGGGTGCAAAGTGGAGAGCCGTGTCAGAGATACTTGGAGGGCCACTCCCCTTTGTTTAAGGTGGGGTTTGTGGCGTGAGAGGAATAGAAGATCCTTTGAAAGCGAGGGGTTTCCTATTTGGTCTCTCAAATTCAATACATTGTCTTCTCTTTTTTATTGGGTTAACGGGGCGGAATTGTATATCATGGATATTCTTTTGGATTTTGTGAATAGTTTAAGACTATAGTGTCGCCATGGGCATCTTTTGTTTCTTGAGTTTGCTCCCCTCTTAAGAGTCTTTCATGAAATTTTACTTATAAAAAAAAAATAAAAATAAAATAAAAACATTGGTGGTTCTTCCATCTACATATTTTTAACATTTGTATGAAGGGGAATGGTCTGAGGATACATTGTTGATTATTTATGGTATAAGGAGATATTGTTGATTCTTTCATCTACATATTTTAAACATTTGTATGAAGGAGAATGGTCTTAGGAGATATTGTTAATTCTTCCTTTTACATATTTTAAACATGTGTATGAAGGGAAATGATTTGAGGAGATAGTAATGGTTGTTTATGATATGAGGAGACACCAGTTGAGTCAAAATCGACATATCCACGATGGTTTGTTATGTCTTTGCTGGTCAATTTAATGCATCCAAACTTAGTCGTTGCCTATATATTTATAAAAACCATGTTTGAAGATGCATTATCCAAGTTGGGCATCTCAGATATCCATGCACGAACTTGAGGGGGAGTATTAACCAAGATATGATAAGCTAGAATCAAGGATGTAACTTGCTATATTAGCAGAGATATGATAGGCTAGAATCATAGGATTTGACTTTATTTACACATCTAGTCTAGGCATAGAATATGCAATGATTTTATTTAGTTTCATTTATTTTTATATTAACAAGTGCTCTTTTTAGTATATAATACCAGAGTTATGAAAGAGTGTTTTAGAAAAAAGCCTCATTAAAGCCTCTACATATTATTAATCTTATTCAAGCCTTCACATATTATTATACTCGTTCTCATTCAAGCCTTTACACATTATTATACTCATTCTCATTCAAGCCTTTACACATTTCTCTTATATTCCTTATATAATGTATTTCTTCTATTTATTTCCTCATCACCTTAATACACAAATTTTCTTGGTTCATTCTCTACTCTTTCCACTTGAATCTACATCCCTTAAAGACGCTCGTTTGTCTTTATTACACATTAACAGACCATACAATAAAAACCTCTCTTCTTTTATTGCATGTGAAAAAACCATGAACTTTGTTTTTTTATTATTTCCATATCTTGCTACAAACAAGGCCACTTTGTCTTTCTTCACCGAGTCAACACACTTATAGTTATAAAAGGTTGATAAGTTTTTTGCAAGGCTTATTAAGCAATGTCATTTTATGCCTTCCATGCACAATCTAATAGGTAGACTCTACATATAATGATACGATGTCAAACATGTAATAGATCTAAAGGATAAATGATCTACATTCCCTATTGTCTTTTCCCAAAATTAATAGGAACAAGAACATGTTTTGTCATGTAAGGTGACTAAAGACAAACCTAACCTTTTGACATTATTTTGCTCAAAGTAGCTGCTCTCAAGACTCGACCTCACGTATCCTCATGCTTGTCAGTTGTGTGTTTACCATTGCACCAAGCAATAAGCTAACTTTTCCCGTGAAGTGTTCTAAAATTAGAAATCTTTGTTTTCTATACTATAGCTTTGCGAGCACAAAACATAATACAAAAGGCCAACACAACACTAAAAAGCCAAATCCAACCAATCAATAAATAAAGAAACAACGCAACAGAAACTAAAAAAGATCATATATGATGTCATAAATCTTATGGAATATCACCTTTCTTCCTTCCAAACACAAACTGCACATGAGCAATCTATGTTGGTGGAACAGATGACCTTTGAGCTGCTCAATATTCCTAAATTTTCCCCGTCTCTTTGAGCCATCATTTGTTTGCTCCTCTGCCTTGTCGCATACACTGCAAGAAAGCTTGCACATTGCCTTGATCATCTTGTAATGGTCCAAATCATCAAAGAGTCCCTGTGTATCCTCATGATACCAATATGATCCCATTCGACCCTCCCTTAACTCAGATGGGAAGACCGAAAAATCATTAATCATCCTGGTATAATCTCCTAGAGCCTGCACATCAGCCAAAACGAAGGAAAAAAAAAAAAAAGAAAAGGCACACCCTTTGGTGAATCACAATGCCCGATCAACAACAGTCATAACTGGTTTTTTTTTCCTTTAAATTGACCAAAAAAATAAATCCTACTAAGTGCTAAACAGTCTTAATTATCAATCTCTACATTTATTTATCAATAGCAGGCAATCTCAGTACCTCGCATCAGCCCAATACCTGGCATCAGCCTCACAATGCGACACCACATATTTGAAAATCATATTAGCATGTAAGAGAACTCATTGAAAACAAGAATCTATGAAGCAATCGAGTGAAGTTATTCACATCACTGATTAGCAGAACGAATCCAATCAAAACACAGATTTTATGGAAACTAAAAACTATGAATCCAAACTAAATGGTGTTTTAATGAATTGCAATTGGACATCTTATCACAAAAGATGGAGAAGATAGAAAGTCATTAGAAACAGAATTGAATGACTATATATACATTGAACTTATAAATCTGAGAATCATATAAACCTTTGTAATGAAGACGATGTTGCAGTCGGTCTTGCAAATACAACAACGTCGATCGTCGCAGATGAAGCGAAGCCGAGCCACGCAGGTGGAGCACACCTCCCGGTGACCGCACCCTCCGTAAGCTACCCATTCCAGGCTCTCCGCGCATACCGCACAGCTATCGTCCATTGTCTCTCTCTCTTCTCTCTCTAAGATTCAACAAATTCCAATCAAAATCGAAGTGTCTGGAGGGAGGTATATATATATGTTATGATCTATCTAGGGTTTTTCAATTTGACGATCAAAGCGGATATGTATATATATACATACGGTAATTGGGTTTACCGACGACGTATGGGAATTGTTGTCTTATTTTCTATCTAGGGTTCGTCTGAAATTGACTCAAATTGGGACTTCTTATAACATGAAAGGCAAGGATGGGTGATCTCAAGACTTTTTCACCGATTGACTTTTCACCAATTGACTTGAAAAGAAGATATGTTTGAGCACCAATATTAATTTGGAAGGTTGGAAAACTCCCTCTAGCGGAATCTTTTACTTTATGGGGGCATTTTAGTCTTTCAGCACTTTTATTATTTCTGTATGTTTTTTCAAGTATTTTGGGTGAATAATCACAATTAACCATAACCCTAATCTTAATCATTTTTTATTTTTTACTTCTTTTTAGGGAGGTAATAAATTTCACTCCAGAACTTTTTTTTTTTTTTTTTTTTAATGTGACATGAAATAATTATCCTCATTTATTTCATGAGAATTAAGTATAAGGGGAAATTATGTTATTTTGTTTATAAAAATAAAAAGAGGTGGAATGCATTTATTAGTACAACGTGGAGTGTGTATTTTTTTTTTTTTTCTTAGTTTCGTAGGGTGTATTTATCATCTCCTTATTTTTATATATAATCTTGTATTGCATAATAAAATTATTTCAATTTGTTTCTCACCATAATAAAATCATGTGTAATTAAGTAAGTTTAAAAATAAAAAATAAATTAAAAATTAATATAAGTCCAATTTTTCTTTTCTAAAGACAATAAAATTCCATCAATTTTCAGTTTGGTCAACCAGTTATACTTTTGATAAAGAATTTTCAGTTTAATTCTAAATATTCGATATTCAGTTTAACCTTTTCTAATTTGTGATGATAACTTTTTTCTTTTATGTTTTTAATTTATATTGATAATTTAGATTTATGTTACATTTTTATAAGTTTTTATTGAGTTAGTAAAGCATACGTCAAGAGATTTAAATTATAATTTAATTATTCAAGAAGATCTTATGTAACTTGTAAAATGACAAAATCATCGATTGCTAATAAAAGCACTTTATGCTTCATTGTATTGAGTAAAATAAAATTGGATGGAAGCGAGAGAATAAGAGATGAATGAGTCTCTAAGGAAGATATTATGTTTTTTTTTCTTTTTGTTTGGTTTGACGGAAGATAATAAAATGAGATAATAGTGTTAATTAGATAAGAGAAAATAGTGTTAATTATAAGAAAAGTGTTGTAATTTAAAAACTTTTATGTTATGTTTGATATGTATGAATGGAATGAAATGCAAGTGGAAATAAAATGAGATTAAGAATAAAATAGAATGGTTATTCTCATTTTATTGTTTGGTTACAAATATGAAATGTGTAGGAATAGAATAATAATAATTATTCTAGTATTTGGTTGGAACAATTTAAAATTTAGAATGGAATGAATTTCAAATTGGATTCTCCAAAATAAACTCTTAGTAACAAATAAATTAAATTAACAAAATAACATTTTTCTATAATTTTTTCAAAAGAAATGGTGTCGATAGTGTTACTGGAAGCCAATGGAGGTGTTGGTGGTGAAAAATAGTGGTGTAACTGTGTAAGAGGAATGCAATGGCAGTGACAATGACGGTGGTTGTAATGACCCAAATCCTGAGATCCGAATCGCTAATCGGGTCCTTATCCGAACCTAGAACACCCAAGGGTACTATGGTCATTTGATGCCACAATGTCCGTTAATAGGTATATTACTACTCATTAGTCACTAATAAGATCATTTAATGAAGTTGCGTTGAAGTCCAGAACCAAACTAAAAGGTCCAAAGAATACCCCCAAAGGAAGCTGCGAGCGCTCGGAGACCACCTGCGAGCACTCGTAGTTAGACATTGGCCACTGGTGAATAGTGCTAAGGCCACGGCTACAATGGGTCAGCCTCGAAGATGCCCAGAAAAGCACTTCAAGCCCTTTTTTTTTCAAATGTTTCACATTCCTAACCATGAAATTGGTCATTTTGACCATTAAACATGTCCCAAACACACATCTAAACTGCATTAAAGATATATATATATAAAACCGTAAACATCATACATTATATGAATTTCATACATTCGTTAAAATAAGTCCGCTTATACAAGACATGAAGGTGAGGCCTCTGTGGCCATCATTACATAGGTTTTACATCAATTGACAAAAGAATACAGTCATATACATATCAATCAATGTCTAGATTAGCATTGGTTACAAAGAATACCAAAAATGGGTTCCCTAGCCACGTCTATAATTATGGAGGCGCATCATCCACCACTTCTTTACCATGCCCTGAAAAATGTTAAAATGAAGGAATGAGCACAACGGCTCAGTAAGAATGCCTAAAAATCAACTTTGGAATCCCTTGAGTCAACAACCAAAGAATGGGAAATAATGAATTCGGGATCATGTGATGGGAAAGATATAAATTTGTAAACAACGCATAACATTTAAACGATATCTTATATACAACAAGGTCAATGCATATGTATAAAATAATGTCGTGAAATGCAATGTCATCTGACTTTAATCCCAAACTAACTCAACCCACATCGAAAACCACTAATCAACTTTACCGAGGCGAAATTGACTAACTATATCTGGCCTCAAATCCGATGACCATTTTGGGGACTAGTTAATGCAATTTTTCACGTCCAAATCTGGCACATACTACCTCTGTAACGACCCTGGATTTTTCAACCCAATGTGTCCTGTGATGAATCAAAAGTTGACCCAGTAATGGGTCTGAAATGCAGAAGCGAATGATAAACCTAGGTCTAAAGAGATATAAATCATCCCTAAGACTCCCAAGTGACTTTCCATGAAGTCATGAAACTCAAAGAGAATGAAAGCGGAAACAAAGGTTAAAACGGGCAAAATCCGTGAATCATGGGGTAAAACGGTCAATTCACAAGTAAAAGGAGAAACTTGACTCTAAACAAGTCAAACAAGGTGAATACAATCTAACCTAATCATTTCACAACATTCCAACAGGTTCTAAGAACTTTGGACAAGAATCCTACAAAAATGCTCATTCCTGGTTTAAGCAAAAACTGACACTACCTCTCTAAAATATGAATAACTCCCACTGTGATTTGAATTTGAGAGTAAAATTGGTACCATTGGAAAGCTTACTCAAAATCCTTGAGTTTAGGCTCAAGAATCATCCCATTTGGATTAGAAACAAAGAAGTTATGACCATTTGAAGTTGGAACTTCAGTGCTGAAACATAATAGAGAGGTTGTGTGAATACAAGCTATTTTAGTCGACCGAAATAGGCAGAAACTTTGCTGAAAACATGTTTTTGAGGGAAGGTCACTTCGGTAAACCGAAATGAGCCATCGGTCGACCGAAATGGACCCAAACAGCAAAAATAGCTACTAGAATGAGTGATTTACTATGCATTAAAGTTTTCAAAAGCCATCGGTCGACCGAAATGGCTCTAAAAGGTGCTAAAGGACCTACTAAACACCAAAATTGATGAGGTTTTACCCCAAGCCTCAACTCCCATCATGAAATGGTCCCAAAAACAAGATTTTAAGCTATACAAGCATGCCAGAAAATATACTTTACATATTGAAATGTGTTACAATGGCCCATGGCCTTATTACATGTCATTTACTCCAATTCACATATCAAACCTCCAAAGTTAGAAAGGTTAATTTCATAGGTAAAACTTGGAATTTAAATACATACACTTAAACTTTAAAGTTTGTGACCCTTGGCTTCATGCCATACATATAAAATATGTCACAAAAGGTATACTTATGTACACATTACATACTTAAGAACAAAAATACAAGTTTGGTCTTAAGAAACCACAAGTCATCCAAGGCAAATGAAATCTCCAAGTCTTGAATCCTGTACCTGAAAAATACCCCAGTAACTTCGGGGTGAGTAACATAAAGCTACTCGTAGGAGATGAGCATGCATAGACCTAGCATTTTACAATTATGTCACCTCAAGGTGAAACATGTTAAAGGGGCTCATGCCACCTAATGTCTATGTCAAAATGAGACTCAAGGAGCATCCTAAGCAATACAAGTAGTTAAAATGAGATACACGGCATACAAGCATACTGGGTAAAAGTATACTAAATAAAGATGAAAACATGTGAGGTAAGTATACAAAACACATGTATACTAAACGGAATCATAAACACACAAGGCAAGTATACGAGACACAAGTATACTAAATGGAATCTAGATACAAGAAGCAATTGTTTAATTTCAAGTATGCTAAATGAGATCGAAATACACGAAGCAGGCATAATGTCTATGCAATTAAACAAGGTAGGAATACTCTATATAACACGACAAGGTTTAAATTTTCAAGAAATACTACTTGAAATTTAAAGACTCAAATCAATGGCAAAGCATGATGTCTATGAAATTTAAACAATGTTGGGATAATCCAAGAAACACGACGAGTTTATAATTTAGCATGAATCGCATTATCAATGAAATTGAATAAAGTTTGGAATAATCCATACAATGACAAGAAGGGTACCTAAATACAAGGATCACATTATCAATGCAATTTACATGATTGAAGCACTCCAATTAACACGATAAGAATGATACATGGAATCAAGGATAAGGCATAATATCTATACAATTAACAAGATTGGAGCATTTCACATAACACGACAAGTTTTAAATCTTCAAGGAATAGCGACTTGAAATTTAAAGAGTGAAATCAACCAATGTGGATACTCGAATATCGCCTGGATTAAAACCGTACTCTTGGGATCACTTTAGGGCTACTAACCCACGGGTACCTTCCTCTAGTGCGCACTATAGTGTAGGGAGCTCTCTATCTCCCGTACTAGAACCAAGTCCTAGCCATGTTAATTCTTGATTGATATCCCAAGTTCCAAAATCAATAAGTTGTGCAAATCAAAATAGTATCAAGATACAAATAATGCATTAACCACGTTTCACACACAACCAAGATTTTGGAAACACACAAGTCATGCCCTAAATTCTTAACTATGATGGCATGTTGATGAGCGCTGAAAAGTGCGTATTTAAACCCCTTAAGCTTAGGTATTCTAGGACCTTTATCTATCTTATTTTTTCGCATTGTATTGATTTCGTGTTATTTCTATTTTTAGGCACTTATCCCCAAAATAAGCTAACTCAGCCAAATAAGAGCAAAAAGGAAGCAAG